AATGCTTGATACTTCCTCTAATACCGTCAAGAATTCCATCAATCGCCTGAAGGACCTGAGAGCCTACATTCTCATCGTCTGTTATAATAGCAGTACCCATCTCTGAGACCTCTATCAGGCCACTGCTAGGATTTGCTATATGGATTATACTGTTGTCGTCTGATCCAGTCTCACCTATGCTCTGTTCTAAGGATCCTTGTATTCCGATTTTCAGTAAAGCGTCTAAAAGTGATTCCGGAGCCACTGAGCCCCAATGCCTCAATGGCCGAGCCTTTCCTGAACTTTCTTCCTGCTCCAACCCTGAAACTAATCTGTGTTTCCCATCTTCCATCAGAAGCCCACCTTTCAATCTTGCAATACCAAAGTTTTCACGTTGTCTCAGTTTTCTCCAGCTCAATTTGGAGGCCAAGTCTGTCGTAATCTCTACGCTTGGATTGTCTGCAATTCTTGGTACACGTAGCGTCTTGTTTTCAAAGTAATTCAGGATTGATATTGTCTTCATTGCAGCAAAATTGATCCTCTGATTGACAGCATCAGGGACCTGCTCATAATATGGAATTAGATAGATGAATATAGACAGATGCAGGATGGAAATATTTCTTCACCATAGTGGAAGAGAATACTTACCAAGACAATCTTTGGCTGCAAAACGGAAAGAAGTGTTGGGAGCTTTTGCAACCTGCAAAAGAAACAATAGCATTGAGCAATGGTAGACAAGCCTATTTCAGATTACACATTTGACCGGTGGACTACATGATAACAAGCTAAATGTGTGAGCTGCCATGATTTTTGGAAACTAATATTTTTGATATAATGAGATATTACGGGTCACCAAATAGCAATACGGCAGATGTGGAATTTAGTGAGTCAAATCTATAATATCAGTCAAGGTATGCCCTTGCACAATAAGCCATGGTAATTCCTATTTTGTGCAGACACAACTCAGATTCCTTGATCCAAGATGACAGTAAAAAACAACTACAAAGCACCAGAATGAAATGTAGTCTTAATCATACAGCCAAGCAAAACCTTACCTTATTCCAGAAAGAAATGAACATTGGAGAATTTTCATTGCTATCGGTCTAAAAGGGAGAAGTCCTAAACCTGAACTAATCCCATCCTGCAACACATATTTATCATCAGATATATTGAATTCACACTGGATCATCTGATAGAGCTGGGGAAGAGAGAAAGAGATTAAAAAACCTCAAGAACAAGCAATGATTTTGGATCTCCACGCCAACGCTGAAGAAGTTGGACAGAAGGGCCAAGTCGCAAACTCCAGTGAGGAGCAAATATGATGCATGGTTCCTGCCAACTCGTTCTGTTCGCATAACTTACAAAATCAGTGAATGTTGTAACATACTTCTTGAAATAGAATCACCTAAATAACATAAATATTTAAGTTGCTGATTCCATGTGAGGTATTTTACTGATGTATCTGAACTAAGCAATGAGTTAAGGTGAACAGAGATGATATTTTCAATTATAGACTAGCATGACATATATTTGCAGACTATGCATTTACGCAAAATAACCCATCAAATAGTGATAACAGAGATAAAACTAACAACCCATTCTTACATTAAGTTGGGTGAATGAATGGCAGGAAACAAATGGATCTTCTTGTCTTTAATGAATTTAAGATGGCCAAATGATGGTTCTCCTAAAATTAACTGCAACATCAATCAAAATATATACTTTTTGATTCATCTTTCAAATAACATATACAATAGAACATATACTATTTGATTCATTTTTCCAATAAAAGTTTCAGTATACCTTCTCCTGTCGTTGCTCGCACAGCCACTCGGGTATGGTGTTTGTGTATGCCAATAACTCTTCTGCCACAGAAGATATTACAAAAATTGGAACCTAAGCAAAGCCAAACTAGAGTGATTTAGACTAACACGGCTAAGAATCATTTCAACTAAATCAACTTTTTTCTGTGCTTCATATCCTCAAGAAAGTAAAACTAAAGAATAAGAAGTAAGAGAAATCCAACCTTTAGAGACGAGGATTCAAGAGAATTTGACATTAGCTCTAGGAGCTGCAGAACTATACCAATTCTAGTAATCGTTATTAAGGTTGAGCCACCAGCATCAGAAGATTCTGCAGCACATGAACAAATAAACTCTAGTTTATCCATCTCTTCTAAGCTGTCTTCAGTGTTTAGTAATGAATCCTTGTTGTCACTGCTAAAAAAGTTAAACAGTAAAGAAAGATCTCCCACTTTAAGACCCATACAAACATCCTCTTACAAATGTAACAAGGTTCTTATATGATATACCTGTTGTGAATATATAGTATATTACGCTCAGAGAAATACACCATTCTCATCACT